TTGATTTATGTGAAAACAAAGACCCGACGCTTCTCCGTGACAAGTTTCCTTATTGTCTCTATTTTCCTATCTATTTTTATCGCGAGATCGATCCGGGTAATCGTAACGGCGCAGACGGTAAATGCGAAAACACGTCGCTTCAGCTTGATAAAGCCCAATACTTATCGTTTGTTCGGAATTCTCAAGTATACTTATCGTTTTTTTATCATTAAAATGCAGTAACACCACCGTACATTCGTCATAATGCTAATACGAGTAATTCCGGTTCGCGTGAAATCACAATTGAAATAGGTTTATGTACAGTTCGAATAACTTGAACGAGGAGCAACGCCACAGCTAACAAGTACAGATTGCCAATGAGATAAATTAAAAGATTATTTACTTCTTTTACATATTTTGTATATGAGTTACATGAAAAATAAACAAAACAGCATATGGGGTCAGATGCAATTCCACTCTGTCTCTCATTGTATCTTCTATAGCGAATATGGGTGACCGGCAAAATCGAAAAATCATCGCGACGCTTCGCGAGGCAAGAGTCGGTATTATCGCTGGCACTATTTTCAACCTAAAGCAAACGCGCTTCTTTTCACGCGCCTGAAGATGCTCTCCTGATAACGTTTTCTCACAGGCTCGCGTCATCTCGTCAAGCATAGTTCACGGCGGAGATCGAAACCGATATAATGTCATACGGGTTCAGACTTCGACGCCACGCGTAGATAATCTCTCACCGGTTATATTTGTGACAACAGCAACGGCGAATGGTGGTGCAAGATACTTCCGTGCGTGTAGCGATAGCAACGGAAATTGAGCTCACCGAAACTATACTGATTTCAATCTCCGACTCGAGATAACTATGGACGAGATAAATCGGAAAATTTGAAACAGAGAGCTGGGTAGCGGTGTGATGTAGCGCGCATAGCGTGAAAAATATGATCGGAGTTCAGAGGAAAAAAAAATGACACATACAGCTGCGCGATATTAAAGCAGAATTTATCTTTAAATTCATTTTGAGAACAATCTCATTTAAATCGGAATAATTTGACGCGCAATTATTAAACATAATTTAACCCTTTCACCGCGGCGCTTCAGCGAAAAGATCTCGCCGTGTGCGGCACAGTGTTCAATTGTGTAACACTGAGGCGGAATAGCGTAATAAAGAAAATTCTAACCGAAAGATTCAAACGAGGTGCAGTACAGCGATATATAGCGGCCACAAATGGCGAGCAATTTTCCATGACGTATATACATAGTGTATGCTATTGAGAAGCTACTTTTCAGCGACGGATATGTCCGTCGTACGCAGCGGAAGGGTTAAAAATTATCGAAAGCTCGCTATACGACCAGTCACGAAAAGGTTGCGACACTTTTTTATCAACGAGTTTCGCAACCTATCTCGTATCGGACAGGAAAATGTATTTCCTAAGAATGATTTAAAAAAAAAACAAATTCTTCTATCGCACAAAAGATGTGTTTCCAAAACTCACAAAGAAAAAAGTATCATAACCTCTTTGTGATTGACCATACGCGATCTATAATATGCAACAGACTTCGTCATAATAGAATTCTGTTTGTAATTTTACTCGTCGTATTATAACACAAGAAAACATTTGAAGATTCCTAGGTGACACACACACACACACACGTGTCTATAAGTATCACGTTGGGTTTTTCAAATATCCTTCCTGCAAATAGAAAATTCCATTTCGAATTCTACCGCAAATTACAGACCATCCGAAATGTGGGTTTTACGAAATAAGTATCATTTGCCCTCATTTGTCACAGTGTGCGGTGCCCGCGCGAAACTCACGGAAATCTTGCGAAAGCCGCAAGCAGGTATTACGCGCACCGGCTCGTCCAGGCTTGTTCGCTCGCTCACTCGCGTTATGTAAATGATAACGCGCAACTTCCTTAATAACGATTAAGAAATACGAGCGGTTCCTACCGGGCTGGTTTACGTAAACGTTTCCGTATACGGTGAGGTACGTTAGATCCCATCGATCTGTCGAGAAGAGACGTGTGTAGGCGCTTTCGTGTTTACGTGGTCGTCATCGTCGTCGTCACCGCCGCCGTCGTCGTCGTTATTGTCGTTCCCGCAGACAGAGCCCGAAGACTCATTTAAACGCTAGACGATTTTCGTGTGATAAGATTATGTTCGAACATTGCAACACACTCGCGAGATATTTGAATGCCTTACTTCCGCGTGTCTGTACGACGTGACTGCTCTACGTAGCTACTGAATTTGAATGCTAATCTTCGTAAGAACTTGTAAATAGACGTGTCGGTCTAGATTACATCGTCGTGTCTAGATTACATCGAAAACGTCGAAGAGCATATTTCGACATTTACCCGTACGCTAAAAAAATAGGATTCGTAATTACCAAGATTTGATTAAAAAATTTCAACTAAATAGTTTGGTTATAGGAACCAAGTCATTTAGTATCATATATACTGTACTGTAGTATTATATACTATGGCCCGTATTCAGAACGCGCTTATAACGATGGTAGCGCACTAACAAGTCAAGAGATGTGAGCATTCTCAATATCGCTCGTATTTTAAACGCGATAATAACAATATTTCGTTAGGAAAAATCGATAATTATGAGTTTTTCCAGCAAAATACCTACTCAGAACTATTAATAAGTTGACTTGTTAGCGCGCTAACATCGTTGTAAGCGCGTTCAGAATACGGGCCTATATATATGTACTAAATGATTTGATTGCAGTAACCACACAATTTAGTTAAAAGTATTCAACTAAATCTTGATAATTGTTACACTGAGGAAAAAATACTTAAGAATGTACTTGTGTGATATAAAGTTTGTTTCAGGCTGATTTCTGTGAAATAAACTTGATATTTCCTACAAATTAATTTTTAAATACATTTTTTTTCTTTCAGTGTACCTGCTTGGCATGTGCAGCAATGAAAATAAAAAGGATTCAGTTGTGCACACCTATCCTGAGTATGTCCACCACCTCATGCGAACGGTTCACATTCGTACAAGGAGATGAGTTACACTTATGCGATAATGCGAAAATCATTTGATCTGATAGTGGCTTGTACGGAGCATATTACGATTCAGATATTTCATGTATTTTTAGCTATCTTAAATGTAACTCAAGAACTTTAACTATCGCCGCAAGTTAAATATAATTGTATCTTACATAACTACATCTAATTATATACAATCGTGGCGCTCATTTAAAGCTGCAATAAGATTACCAATAAACTCAATTAGCATATTACAATCGATATTCACCCGATAAAGCGGGGAAACCGCTTTCGTAACGTTAAAATTATTGAAGCGTCATCGTTATTATTTTTTAATGCATATTCAGCTTCTAAGGAAATTCAGTCACAGAAATGTCGAAATTTCGGGAGGGACCGAGCGCGTTTTCCGGGAGAAAAACTCGGGCGGGCAAACGGGATCGGCCCGTTCCGTGCGATTTGACGTTTTATTCTCGGCTCTCCGAAGACGAGCGGCGCCACGTTATAGTCTCGACTACTTGTCGATGTGCCGCAACAACAAAGTCGCAGGAACGCGGTGACGTCAGCGGTTCGCGTTAATTGAATTCCACGCGACCGTTTATTAACATCGCCGAGCGGATTAAAGCGAGGCCGGGCTTTCGGCGGATTTCCGGGTTCCGCGTGTCGCGCCGTACCGAGCCGGAATTAACTACTCTCGTGCGCGAATCGTAACGAGCCGCGATCCGCTCCGAATCTCTCGTGCGCGGTAACGCGAGGGAGAAGCGAAGGAGAACGAAAATCGACCGACTTGAAGTGGCGATGGTGACCTTTCGCGTGCGAGTTTAACGGGCGCGCACAACGACAGTAAAACGTAAGAATAAGCTGAATAAGGCGCGATATCACGACGACGCGAAGAGGTTATCGATACCGTTAACGCGTTGCACGAGACGCGAGAAACGATTTGCGAGCCGATAAATTTGTAAAATGTAATGCCAGCTCCACACGATGTGGCGAATGTAGGCGAACGTTGGCAATTATATTTATGCCTTGAGCGAATGTCACATATGTGATCGATATAATTTCCGACATTCGTCTACATTTGCCAAATCGTGCAGAGCTGACTTTAGAAGGAGAAGGGTGCAATTATTTTTTTAACACGGCTAATAAATATACAATTTTGTACGTTATTTGTGGAGTAAACGCGCTGCGGCTCCAATCTTTTGATTCTCTTAATCGTACTTGTCACTAATGACAATTACGTTAAACCGGAACATTGCCATTACCTGTAAATGTAGTCGGTGATACTGATTGTAAGCGAGACTGATAAGCGCTTTGCTTTAACAAGTGTAAACAGCAGTATATAAAAATACAACTTTGATGGAGCGCCCGGGGCATAACCTGCGGTTATAATAAAACGAGGACAATGTTGCAAAATTAACTCTGCGTTCGGTTGCATCTTCGGGCGGCGTGATATTTAACATTCATGTAAACAACGGACGGTGGACGGCGTATTTCGGGTGCCGCGAACTCTCGTGGCGGCGAGTTACATAAGCCGAGGCGAGAAAAGGCGCGAAACTCCAAATCGGCGTCTTTAAACGCGTAGCTCGCGTGAAATTGAAGCAACGCTCGCTCACGAGGGCGATAAAACGGTAACGCGGGTAATAAATTTTGATAAATCCCGCTGGAGATTGCGCGCGGAGTACGCAGTTCGCGTGGGACTCCGTAACGCCGCGGGAGAGGAAAACGATGTTCGCCGCGAGGAAGAGGCACGATCACAACAACGACGAAGAAGACGGCGATGACGTTCGCGACGGTTTGTTTACAGCGGAGATCGGAAGTGCCGGAGTACGCGCGCACGCGCGCAACGGATATGCACGCGACAAACACAAGCGCGCGCGCGCTCATCTACATGCACGCACACACACAAATACACCGCCGCAACGTCGTCGACGTGGCTCGTCGGGCGAGCGACGAATTCCCCATAAAAACGCAAGACACACGACATAAGAATAAACTGTGCGGACGATTACCTCGATCACTGCCTCCGCTCCGCTCGACTCCGCGCTCGATGTCGGCTACTTCTCGCGAGTAAAATCCTCGTCGGTAGGCCGAGCGGCTGTCAATGTCACTGGTCGTCGTCCGACGATAATCGGGACGCGAACCGTTCATCCACCGTTCATCGGGCGATGATGAATCGCCGATCCCGTTTCCTCGTGTGTCGCGGGCACGCACGCACAGGGCGGCACGCGCGCGCGTAATCAGGTCGCAGCGGGCGGCATCCGCGAGAGGAAGAGAGTCGCGGAATACGAAGGGGGGGAGGGGGAAGGGGGTGGGAGAGAGTTAGAAAGAGAGCGGCTGTCCACAGCGAAGTTTTCGCCGCGGCGACGCGAACACGTGAGAGGGATTATATCGGGAGCGCGAATGATCGGGCGGGCTCGCTCGCTTATTACGTGTCACAGCGGAACGACGGAGAATCCTCGGTCATAGCACTCGGGGGAAGGAGCGGCTTGTGCTCGCACTTGTGTGTCACTCGGTCCTTTTACCTCCCTTTAGCTGTCACTCGCTTCTCGTCTCAGCGGTGACGACACCGACTATTACCGTGATCGCGAGAGCGAGCGTGGACGCGAACGTACGCAAAGTTCGGAGCGCGGCTCTTGCGCGAAGATCCGCTTCGCCGAGGCGATAACAGCGCGATTCGCTCGCGTCGCTGCGTGCGCTCGTCGAGCGGTGGTTAACTGCGGCGCGATTGCGGGCACACAAAGCTGCAGGCTTAATCGCGAAAAACACCAATCACGTCTCGAGGTCGGCGAGCGACTGAGCTGGGCTGAACTCACTGATGCAAAGCCGCTGTAGGAAGTGCCGGGAAGTGTTGCCACCAGACCCTCCACCTCCTTTCTCTCTTCCCCCATATGTTACTCCCCGTTCTCCCACTGCGCGTCTCTCGCGAGCGCGAGCGAGACGGCGCAACGCAATCGGGAGCGAATAAGCAGGCGCGGATCCACGAACGGCGGGGAAACCGGAGTCTTTCCATCCTCGGAAATTTTCCTGAAACATTTTTATCTCCGTATCAGCGCACGCCTGTTTTGACTGCGTCGCTCTCTCGTGTCGTATGCGAGTGACACCTTTTTTACGAAAACTCAGTCTCGAAACGGGGCGCTCGTGACGCGATGATGTGCCGTGTCGGGTGAAAAAATAACCAGATGTCGGGAAATTAATCGTTGTAAAAAAGTCAAATCTCTTGAGTAAATCTTTTGTCCCGAGTCACGTAGGATCCCCGGGACGCGAGGCGTGAAAGGATCAAACGGACGTCTTTTCTTCTTCTTTGCGGGAAAAAATTGTTCCGCCGAGTTTTCAACAATACCCCACGGGCGGGAGGTGGATTTAACTCAAGCTCAGATCGAAAGCGTGTCGCACAGTGTGGAGAATTTAATGATTAAACTTTCCCGGCGTTTCTTCCCAAGGAGATAGGCAATATAACCAACAGGCTTACCCCCCAACCCGAGTTACTGAATCCGCCACTGCCAACAAGTGGTATCGGTCGACGATCATTGGCGGCTGCGGGCGGCGAATCCCGCGTTGCTTTTGGCGCGCGAGCGACGGCGCCAGCGGAAATAATCGAATCGCAGTCACGGCGGTCGAGTGGGGCGAAATCGCCGCGAAGTTGGCGTGCAGAGCGGTAGGGAGAAAGAGGAGGGAGACCCGTCGACTTCCTCGTAGCTTCCTCGTAATCGCGATCATGATTGTCGTCGAGTTAACCCCGGACGATCGTTTCCATTTGCGAGCAACGTGGAACATCGTGATGGAAGTAGCCGGGGCTACTTCGGAAGTAACCTTGCGGTAAATTTTCATCTTTCTCATGTGCTTTAGAATAATGGCGAGTCCATAGCAAGACGAGTCTGTCGAACGTAACGCTATCGGATAAAAGATCTATGGAGTTCGAAACATTGGTTTGAGAAACCTGTGGACTCTATGCGATAAACGATTTATCACAGATACTCCGACTTCCCTCTAATCGATTTCATCGATTGTATCTAGATCGTGTGGTATGTGTCGTAACTTACAATACCTTTCAATCAACGCTCACGCAGCACACGAATATCTAATCCGGGCTTTAAGTTGAATGTACTTAGACCGGAATTAGGAAGCATTTAGTAATAGCTGCGATCAGTAGTTTTTTTTTTTACACCTGTCGGCAGTCTTCTATGTTGAGATTGGATTATATTCCTGTAAATCTAAGATAATAACCTGTAAATAAGAGAATAACTCAATCTCAGCTCAGAAACTCCAACAGTTCCAACAGTTGCAAAATAAACGTTCTGCCGAAATGCAGCGATTGCGCGTAAGGTGCATTTTCGTCTAGTGTAAAATTGGTTTTAGGTTACCAATCCACTTGCGAGTACACGTCACGATGCTCGCATGAGAAGGACGCGCAGCTATGTTCACGCGCTGGGGTTCAAATGAATAGTAGTACATTGACGCCGGTTGGGCATTGACGTGATGCCGCGAGTTCCCATAGACGAATTCGACAGATTCGCGCGATTTATACGCTCACAAGTGGATGCTCGGTTTATGAGAATGATCCTCCGCGTCAGATACGGGTAAGTGAGAAAAGTTATCACGATGTTCAGCGTCATACGCGTCTTAAGTGCTTGATTGTCAACGTACCGTTAATCTTCCAACCGCCATTATTGATTTCTTAACCGAAATATTTGTGATAAGTGTTGTATGAATCTGATACAAATAATGCGAATTGGACTAATTTTATTAAGAATACGATGAAAATTCATGTGTAAAATAAATGCCGTGCAGAATGGTAACAACATTGTATTGATGAGGTGCTTGATATTTTGATTAAGAAAGTAATAACATTTTACAGTGAATAATCAACAAATTGTTAATTTCAAAGATACACTTTCTTAATCCCTATTATCAAAGCAATCTTCAGAGAAAAAGTTTGTATCGTTCAACTACTGAAATTATGGTAATACTTCAACACATCAGTGATCAGATTCCGAATTCTGAATGTTCATGCTATAGTCTACTTATGAAAAACAAGGTAAGGTAAAACTGTTTCTTGTAATTCGTATAAAGCAAACATGTAGGCCTGGAACAACCACTCAACATATTACATATGTACACTTGTTAATTAATAACCAAAATCTAATATATTAATTTAACACCACCATAGTAACATTTACTTTGGTAAATATTTCGTTAGATTGCTCGTGAGTGTTAATGAAACGATACACCTTTCCTTTGCAACTGTTGGTTTTTTTATTAATTTATTTAACTTTACATTGAAATGAATATGAAACTACAAGTAATTCTTTGTATGTGCTTCCTCTAGTTTTTACTATGTTTTACATTACGTAGCTTATATTAGTTTTATATTAACCTATTTATATTCTCAAATTAAATATAGAGAACCTTACATTATTACAGCATAAAATTTTTTGTATTTTATTATGTATAGTTAAATTATATAAGAGCGGTGTTTCAGCGTAATTTAATTACGTACGTAACATCACGGAATTGCCCAATTATTATTGATATTCGCGATATTGTGTATGTGCAAATAAATAAATCGTTTATGGAAGACTTATTCTTTTAAAATGTTTGCGCGCAGTTGCGACAGTGGTACAGCAAAAAAAGCTAATAATCGCACGATAAGATGCTTAATCGGATGGGAAGAAATCGAATCTAATAATCACTGAATGATTCGTACAGACGATAACAAACAATTACGTCAGATTGATTCAACAGTCTCTTGGTACCATATAAATCCATTTTATATAGAATAATATACGAACGTAAATGGATCGCATAATCTTTTATCCCACGAGAAACAAATTAACGAATTTCTATGAAAGAAAAAAAGGAACAATATAATGATGCCTCGATTTCACTTACTACCGAATAAATTGAATTATTAATGAGCTATATCTGGAATTCATCTTACGTAAACAGATAATAATTCACGTTCAAAATGCAGCCTGTTGGGAATTTCGTGATATCAAAGTCGATCGCTGCATTGGTTACAAAAACACAAATATCAGTGCCGTTTTTTTTTCTTGATGCCTTGCGGTAATAATTCGCCGTGTCGAGATAAAAGGATAAATGGAATGTCCCAACGAAGCCACGAGACATCACTCTATTCGGAACGACTTGAAATCGCACTCATTTAAGTTTCTTATGTCCTATACAATCGTATTTTTTCATACTTTGTTCGCGATGTTATTTACGTGATATGCAAAACCAACATCAATAACATCAATAACAGGTTTCAATGTCCGTTTACGACGCAACAAAACGCGTCAGTTTCAAACGACATTGAAGCGTGGAAAGAAAATCATGTTTCTTTATTCTTGTTATTTGACGTAATAACTTATAGAGAATTGAGAGCATACATAGGATAAAATACAAACTTTCATATTTCTACTAAATCATTTCTTCGAGTTATTTTACTTACGAGTTGCATATTTATTCTTTATATCCATTCTTACACGTTTAACGTTACACATTACACATTTTTGTTCTTATAACAAAATAACAGAACAGAAGACAATCTTCGAGGCAAAGAAAGATATATGACGTCGTTGATCCGGTTGAATTCGTTAATTCGTCTTAATCTAGAGCAAACAAGCTGTCTCTCTTTCCCCTTCTACATAACGATCCCACTTACTGCCATTCCTTTGATTATCTTATTTGCGACAAAAATGTAAAAATTGGATGAAATAGATTTTATATGGTATAGTTTGCGTGATTCTTGTTTTTTCTTTCTGTTATATCTTATACCATAACAGAAAATCGCTAACAAATGTCAGAATCAATAAAATTTATATGCTTTAATTTTTTTATTTTTTTAACAAATTTGAAATTGATTTTATTATAACTAATTGATTTTTTAATCGAATTTTTACATTTTAATTAATTTTATTAGTTAATTGTAATTTAACATTAATTATTAAATTTTTAGTCAAAAATAGGGGCAAAGATAGTTTCCGAATTTTAAGTGATTGCAAAGGAAAAATCAGTTCGTTAAGAAATATATTTTGTATCGATATTACACAGTAAAAATCATGAAAAATTTCTATGAACAAAAAATCCTGCTGTTCCTTGAAATAAACTTTATATTCATACGGAAATAAAACAGAACGTGGTTCTGTACTGTGTAATCTTCGTTAAACCCTGACCTTGTCACGATAACGAGCCTAATTCTCGTTTCAAGTGGATATTATCGGCCGTTTGGGTTTCATTATTATTTACTTTCTTTTACTTTCTCGCGGAAAGTTTCTCGACGATAGATGTGATAAACTTTAAGCAATAAGTTGTTAATACGAGAACAAACGTTCTGAAGTCTCATGAGAAAAATGCCATTCATAAAATGTACATCTATATATCCTAGCATACAAAAAATAGAGCTGAGAGTAGATATCTAAATATACAGAGAAAAGTATTACTTAATTTTAATGTGAATTGATCATTATAGTTTAGATTTATACTGCAATAAGCATTTCAGCTATCGTAACAAAATAATAAAATAAAATATAATCCAATTTGTTAAAGAAAAGAATATAAATAAAATAATTAATATACTTATAAAAGTAAAAATTTTATCTTTTTTTTTATATTCTAAAGTTATAAATATTAAACCTAAAATTCAAACTCTGAATAAAATTAAGATTTGGATAATAATTAAGTGTGGGATATTGAAATCAACCAAAAAACAAAAGAAGTACTTGCCAATATATATATTCACGTTTGGCTGGGGGTGAATAAGTCAGCTGTTCAAAGTCAGAATCGCGGACTGTCAGTACATAATTTGAATTTATATAATTTAAATT